TGTGCTCTAAAACCCAGCACAGCCGCAGAAAGGGGAATATTTCAGCTCCTGCTCTGCCTGGGACCTGCTGTGTCTCTGGGATAAACAAATGGCAGCTCTGCCAGTGATAAGTCACTGTGCTGTGCACCCATTTTATTCCTGTTGCCTTTAATCTAAAGGTGCTGAGGATATGATTACCCAGCAGTCCAACAACACTTGGTTTAACATAGCCTTGCCATTTTACTATGTTTTTGTAAGAAACCTGTTCTCTGTAGTCACGTGTCAGGTGAAGGAACTGAGAAAGCTCTTGGCTTTCCAACAGCACTTTGTGACATGTCAGCAGTCTGTTGGAAAAACAAAATGTGAGCCTTGGGAAGCAAGGCAGGCCATGGTTTGAGCTGGAGCCCACTCTGCACCAGGGCTGGATGCTGAGCTTGTCTGGAGGAGGAAATGATGCCAAACTGTTGGGGTCAGAGACACCAAGCTGCTGGTGAAAGCTTCTGAGAGCCCACAAAGAGCATCTGGGAGGGTCCATCCTGTAGTCCTGGTGGAACACTGAAAGTGTACCATTGTTTGGAGCTACTTTTGGGCAGGGGTCATAGTAGCTTTATATTTTAAAATGCTCTTCTTTTTTCCTTTTTTTTTTCCTTTTCCCTGTAGACCTAATCTTGAAAGTTGTGTAAATTCTTTGTTATATGTAAAGAACTGTGAAGGTCCCATTTATAATAATTGGTCATCTTTCTTCAATTATTTGAGTGTCATGTTAAAACATTTGCCTGATAATATCAGTGAATTATATGGGATCTCCCCCAAATTGTCACCAGCAATGCTTGCAGAATAGTGATGTCTGTTCATGGAGCTGCCACTGTTATTTGCAGTTTGTTTCTGCTGCAGGGACTTTATAGCATGTACCAGATGGGTTAAGTAATGGATTACTCTTATTTTTTACATAAATAAATGATCAGATAAAGTTTTGCCAAGCTCCTGCTGTGTCAGAAATTGTGTGTAATGGCCACCATGATTATCTTTGGTTGAGCCAGAGAGCTCCAGGTTGAGTTGTAAGGGTTATACAGATGTACCCAGCTCTTAGGGTTTGCTTGTGGGGAGTTTAATTCTCTCCATGTGTTCTAATAACAAAGTAGTTTGTCTTTATGAGACCCACTGCCTAATCTGTATTGAACTAAAGAAAGCATTTTGGTTACTGAAATGTGCTTGTTGAGCCAGCTGAATTGGAGGAAGTCACACAAATGTCCAGTATCACATGGCCGCGCTGTTTCTGGGCAGCCTATTTTTAGTAGGATTTTTAAAAGCAAGAAGTGGCAGTGAGGTTAAGCAGTGGTGGTTTGAGCTGTGAGGGAAGGCAGTGTGCAGCTGGCTGCCTGCTCTGGGCTGTGCCTGGCTCAGTCTCTGCAGCAGACCTGGAGGATCTGGGGGACACACAGGATGACAGAATGGGCCAGGCTGGAGGGGACCTCCGTGGGCCACCCTCCCTGCTGGAGCAGGGCCAGCCCAGAGCACAGGGCACCAGACTGTGTCCCAGAGGTTCTGAATAGCTGAAGTGAGGGAAACTCCACACCCTCTCTGGGCAGCCTGTTCCAGTCACTGCCCAGTAAAGAAGTTCTTCCTCATATTATACTGGAACTTCTGAGCATCAGTTCCTTCCTGCTGGCTCTTGTCATACTGCTCAGCACCACTGAGAAGAGCCCGGTCCACTCTTGGCGCCTCTCCTTTAGATATTTATACACATTAATGTATAATTACTTATTATATTCATTCAGTAATTTATACGCATTCATTGAATTTGGATTTCACTCTTTGACAGCACCAAGTATACACAAAGGAAGTATTTAATTACTGAAGTTTTCTTGTGTTGCTGGGGTCTTTGACAGCTGCATTATGTGTATATGAGCACATGTACAGGTGTTGCTGGTGTGAAAGGCATCTTGGCTAGAGGGGAGATGATGGACCCAGGTTTGTTCTGTGCTGTCCAGCAGCAAGAGCTCCTCTGATGAAAGTGAATCAGGGGTTTGTTTTGTGCCTCACCTTCCCTTGCTGTGTGTGTGAAGTTAGGGATGAGCAGAGTCTGAGCTGCTGTGCCTGGCTGGGTTTTCTTTCTCGTGCTGGAAGGTGCAGAGGTTATGTGTGATCCAATGCTGTGCTCAGTGTAGTGGAGCAGTGTTTACAACTGTGTGTGTGGAGCTTGACTCTGGCAGTGAGGATCTCAACAGCTGGGCCCAGGGCCAAGGAACAGCGTTTGGGCAAGGCTGTTGTGCCTGATGCTTCATTAGCAAGCTACTCAGTGAGCTGAAGCAGCAGAATGTACCTTCTGCTTGTCTTCTCTGCTGAAATAGCAAGGAAGAGCTTCCTATCTGTGCTTAACAAAAGGTGGTTGTTGTTGCAGGAAGATGTGGTGTTATGGTCAAAAATAAACCCATGGTTCTTGGAAATTTGTATCATGTCTGTGACATTGACCTTTTTCATCAAACTGTGTCTTTCTGCTTAGTTCCATGGACCATAACCCCCTCAAGGTATGCTAGAATAGGGATGCTGTTTCTAAGAGTTTGGCTGGCTCAAATTGGTATCAAACTTTTAAGTAAGTGGGAATGCACTAGGTGTGAAATTAAACCTGTTATCTAAAAGTCATTGGAGGCAGAGCAAAATCAAAGTGTTATGAATTCACTGGCTCTTTGTACAGTACTTTCCCTTTTGCTGGCTTTACTTTGGAGCTGGAGTTGTGTGATTGGCTTCTAAGGTCTTGTTTGCCAACACCACTGGCAAGGCTTTTGGTGACTCCTGGCACAGAGCAGTGCTACACCCTTTGCCTAGGACTGCATCATTTCCTCCTTGTTCTCAGTGTTCTTGGCTTTGCTTAACCCTGAGTTTGCTTAAGGCTGATACTGCAAAGATTTCTCTTTATCCTCTGTGAGTAATCACACATTGCTTAATTTTATGCTTTGAAATTGAGCACATAAATCTGAAAGACCAAGCCCTTTATTCTTTATTTCTTCTCGTGGCAGGGAAATAACTTTGATGTCCTACAGCTGTTAGGAATGATGTGTGCAGGAAAACAAACTAAAACACCCTGGGAATGTCTCTTGTCCAGTTCTCTGAGGAAAGCTCAGTGTATGCAGCGTTGCAATGAATTAGGACCTGTCTATTTGAAGCCCAGGTTTAATGTTTAATAGCCAGAGTGTATTTTCAGCAGAAACTTCCACATTCAGGACATCTGCCACTCATCTTTTAGCACAGTCTGTGCTTGCAGTTTGCTCCAGGCAGCAGCCAAATGTGAAACATGTGTGAGATGGTTAAACTGGACTGCCCAGTACTGCACAAGCATGGAAACCACAGAGTTATCAAGCTGATGATCTTGGTGATTTGGGGACCTTCCTGGGCATCCAGGTCATAATCTGGGCCTTTTCTGTCACAGTACAGCTGCTTTGGCACAGTACAGTTGCTGCTTGCAGTATTTAGTTGTTTGTTTCTATGTGTCTGTATACAAATGAAATATAAAGAAGAAGTCAATGCTGTTAAAACCGTTTGTGTGGGTTCTGTGTGTTGTTGTTTTTTTTTTTTGGGGGGGGGTTGTTTGGTGGGTTTTTTGTGGTGTTTTTTGTTTGTGTGTTTCTTTGTTTGGGTTTTATGTTTTCTTTTGGTTTTGTTTTGTTTTGAAAGAGGCTAAGTAGTTAGTGTGGTTACATTAGAGAGTGCCTTCCTTGCTGAATTGTGGATATTAAGGAGCTGGAAGGTAAGCACAGGAAACATTAGGCACTGCTAATGAAGTTTAAAGACTTCAGCTGAATGTCTGTGGATTGCAGATAATGACCCAACTTTTAATGTGAGCATCTGCAAATTTTAATGTAAATTTTGAAGGAGGTGCAAATGGATTACTTACAGAGGCAGAGATCTTGTGTTTTACACTTTCTGTGTTCCTTAGTGGCGTGGATTTAATTTCTTTGGCCTGTTTGTTAGGAGCAACAGCAAGATCTTTCCCTGAATAATAATTCTATGGAGGGACTCAAGGCTGGGGTAAAGCTTCTTAGAATGTCGAGGGAAAAGAAAGTACAAACATAATACCAAAAAACAAGTATGAATGAGAAGTCACTGTGATCATGAATGGTTTGAGGGAGCATTGTAAAGACTAAACTGGAGCAGAGTCAGTCAGAATGCAGAATGCAGCATGCAGCTGTGATTTTGGTCTGTCAGCTCCATGCTGCTTGGTGAAAGTTGTGGTGCTTTCTAAGCATCTTGAAAGCTGTTGCATTTCCCTCACTGCTCATCAAGCCTCCATTTTTGCCTTTAACCCTGCTTCAGGTGTGGCTGTAGGTGGGTAAGGCTGTCAGGGTGATGGAGGTTGCCCCTGGCAATTAGCAGATGGGGCTGGTGGAGTTTATTTAGCTCTCAGGAGGCAGTGGGCAGGGTTGAGAGCTGACTCTTCCACACTGTGGCCTGATGAGAGCCCTGGTTTGAAGATCAAATGTAAGGGCTGAAGCAGCATTGCTTTGAAGAGCTCTCATTCTGTGTTTGTAGCAGGGTAAGTATGCCATGTGATTTGTCATGTTGTTTTCCAAGGCTGCTGCATGGGTAGATGTAAACTGCATGTTTCTAGTTTGGCAGTCCTAAATAAGGAAAAACAGGGTCTTGTCATTTGAATGATGTACATACCCATGGCCATGAGGAATCATAAACTCTTGCTCCAATTACCAGTGGTGTCCTTGAGTTCTTCCATTTGATTATCACAAGACGAGAGAGTTTTGCAACTGCTTTGTGGTCTACAGGAGGACACTCTTGAGCTTTGTAGAGCTGGAGAAATAACCTAAAAATACTATGAGGCAGTCTAACAATGAGGGAATTCATTGCCCCGACATGGCTTGTCACACGTTACTCTCTGCAGACTCCATGGGTTATTCATAAGTATCTTTAAAGCAGATGACCTCAGTTGTTTTGCTGAGGAAACCAGAGAGAGATTCCCAAGTTGCCTTTTGAGTTAGTGTACACCAGCACAAGAGAGATGGAAATATGTTCCATGGAGATTGAGCCTGTTTTGCCTGGAAAGGAAACACCAGCTGCCTCTGAAAGTGCTGAAGATTTCTGTTACAGGAGATATGGCATGGAAATAGAAGTTTTAGACTATATGTATGTTAAAGTAAGTAGAATATGTTCAATTCTTTCCTTGGTTTTAACACATGCAGGTCTGTATAGCTAAGCATGTAAGTGCTTACTAGTACCATAGTATTACAGTGTGAGAGTTTATTAATAAGGATTTATGTTGAATTTGGACTTATGATCTTGGAGATACATACGTGACTATTTCAAACATGCCAGACATTAAATTCATTGTTTAGGAGATGGTCTCACTTAGAAAAAATCTTGCAAGAGGAGAAGCAATTGCAGAAGCTGTTAGAATTTCATGTCTGAGTGCACTTCTTCCCTGTGGCAGTCTCACATACCAGAAATCTAAAGCTGATTTGAACTTTTTGCAAACAATCCATGAGAGAACACTTGTAGAGGAAAGTAGTGGAATAGTTTCTCTAAGGCTAAATGTGGTATGCTTGAAAGTTTGCTTCAGCTGCTGTGACAGGGTGCACTTTGTCCCTCTCTGCAGCCCAGAGAGCTTCCCCTGGCCTCTCCTGCTGGGGCAGGATGGCTCGGGGTGCTCCTGCTGCCCGAGGGGCTGCTGAGGGCAGGGCTGGCAGTGCAGGGGAAGGAATGGCTGCTGCTCTTGCTGGGGGGTTCTGGAGAGCAGCTCTGTGGCCGCTAAGCCCAGTTCTGCTTTCACAGCTTCCCCCAGTTGTTGTGGAGGAAGGGCAGCTCTGGGGAGGTTTGGCTCTGCTCACTGGTTTTGAGTTTGAGCTTGCCAGGTCATTCATATCAGGCCACTCTGGTTTCCTTGTGTGGGGACTGGCTGTAAATTACTGTTAATTTCCCATGAAAAACTGGTGGAACTAAATATGGCTTCATTAGATGTGCTTCACTGGTGTCAGTTTGCTGCTGTAGTGAGCAGAAAGGTGTCTGGGTGACAGCCACACTCTGGGTTACCTGAGTAAAACAGCTTTTACCGATTTAGCGTGAGTTATTCAAGGAGAACTAGTTTGAATGGTGCAACTGCATCTCAGCTGGGGCTTCTGTGTTGGCTGAACAAAAAATACTCAGTTAATCTTGGCTTTTTAAAACCTCTGTTTGGTGTTTTACTTTAAATGTGGCTTTTTGCAGGGCTAGGATTAAGTAAAAACAAGATGGTGCTTTTGGACTTGAGCTCAACTTTACAGAAGGACACTCAGAAAAGTACAGCCTTATCTACTCTCAAATATATTTCCTTTAATTTTTAACTTCTAAATTAAACTTTCACAGTTAGGTCAGCAATGTCCATGCTCCAGATGTTTTACAGTTAGTAGCAAACGCAGCCTTATTTCACCTCTGTGAGCTAGGTGAGCAGTTATGGCCCCACTATTTCTTTCTCAGTAACTTGTTCCCAGCTCCAGTGCTGTGGCACAGTGCAGTGCATCTGTCTGATCCACACAGCCCTTTCTTTGCCACGCTGCATCAGCAGGTGCTGGGTACACCAGCATTGATGCCATGGCAGGCTGCAGATGGCTCTGTGCTGGGGCAGGGGCACTGGGAGGGAGGGGAGGCTTCCTCCTGCAGGGTGTGAAGAGCCCCCAGCTGCAGCCAGCCCCTTCCACCCAGGGCAGCCCTGGGGCTGGCTGGGAGGAGTGAGGAATGAGTCAGGAATTCTGCCTCCTGACCCTGGTTTTTAGAAACTTCGGGGAAAATAGTTGTAGAAAGCTTCTGGAAGGTCTTAAATCCATCTGAGGACTTGACAAAGTGACATCAGCATTTCATTGTGTGACATCAGCATGAAAAATATGGAAGGAATGTGAGGGTCTGGACTGAATGTGGAAGTTATGTCTGTTTCTGCATTTATGCTGTCAAGTCTTTATTATGGCTTGCACCATCTTGATGTTGAAACAAAATCCTGCAGCCACTTGTTTTATTTGCCCTTACAATGTTTGTGTTATTGAATCTTAAGTGTAGACACCCATGCAGTTAATTGTGCTGAATATCTTTTTGTGCTCTTAGGTGTAGGCTATTTTAAATTTCTTTAATTGGAGCAGCATTCACTGTAAGCACAGAAACATGAAATCATGCATCCTTTTCCTAGTGAGGTTTCTTCAGTGCAGCAAGTCTCATTAGCTGAAAATTCAGGGTAGCTGCAGTTGTTTCATTTGCCCTTAAATTTCTTGTGGCCACTGCTGTACAATTCATGTAACATGTTTTTCAGGTTGGAGGAATTGTGAGTTTTAAGGCAGACTTATAATTAACTTATTTTTGAAATCACTAGCATATAATTTCTTGTTGGCCTTCATTCTGGTGGTATGGATCGAAATGCAATACAGCATTTGCTTCTCTGTGTGGGTATGACCCCAAATGAAATTTTACATGAGTCAGAATATTTTCCTGTCTCTCAGCCTGAGGTAGGCGTCACACTTCTGCTCGGTGTTTTTGCAGCTCTTATTGTGGTTTGTTTTGTTATTCAGCTGTTTTGTGTCTTAGGCAGTGTCCAGAGCATTGGTGGGTTTGATCTCACTGTTTCTGCCATCTTTTCTGGAGATTCTTCAGAGCTGCATTCATTCCTTTGACATCTCTAGAAATCAAAACTCTTTCAAACACAAAATTTTCTTCAGATTTTTTTTCTCATTGTGATTCCAAGAGTTTCCTTGTGCATGGTGGAGGATGCAGTGCCTTACCTGCTACCTGTGAGCCAGGTGTGCAGACCAATACCACTGCTGTGCAAACTCACAGTGTGACATCCTAGGGGGTAGCTCAGAGCCTGGGTCACTGCTGTCCCCTGGATTCTGTTTGGGAGCTCTGCTTGTGGCTGGTCAGGGAATTCCATGAGACAGAGTAACACAGGGCTTTTGATCTTCCTGTGAGGTCAGCTAATTCTGTGGGATTGTTGTTCAGATAAAACATTAATACTCATTGTCACTTATGTTTCCCCTACTGTACATCATGATAAAAATTTATTTTCAAATTAAGTCAGGCTCTAAATATAAGGCCTTAAACTCTACAAGAGGTTTGTAAATGGGTCTTGTTGAGCAACAAGACAGAAAATGTGCTCCATGCCCAAAGAGTGCTACTGCCTTTAAGAAAACTATAATTTCTGCTTGGATTTTTTTTTCCAAATTAATGATTCCATTTCCCTCTGGCGCTAAGAAGAATGAAGATGAGTCGGTCAGAGGTTTTGCAGCAGCCCACTTGTCATGGGGATGCTTTACTTTCCAGTCGTTACTTGGCATTCTTGTGAGAGAAAAGTCCTGTCTGACTTTTCAGAGTGCAGGCAGCAGCAGCACCCTGGTAGCAGGAGTGTCCTTGGGACTGCCCGTGCTTCGCAGGATGGGTGGCACAAATTTTACTGGTTCCAGCAGTGGAAGAAACAGGACTTCCTCCTGTGTGAGTGATCTTGATCTTTTTGTAGGAGATCCAGACTGGTCAAGTCAAGACTTGTGTTTGCCTGTTACTCAGCTGGCTCTTGATCTGCTTGTGTAGAGCTTATAAAAACTAAACTGTGCTCTTTCAAGTATTTCTAGGCTCAGCATTATTATCTTTGGTGGTGGCACTGTGAACCAAGCATAGGGGAAGATATGAAGCTGAAAGGAAATTGTTCTAGCATCAAATTGTGTTTTCAAAGCAACCCAGCCAAGGAAATCCCAAGAAATCCTTTTGTAATAACTTTGCATTTTGCAAAGATCGGTTCAACACTGCTGCAGTGTCAACTTTGATGACTTTGTGCTCTGTTTTGTTGTTACCCCTTACTAGCAGAGAGACTTCCTTTTCCAGCCTAGCAATGCAGCCTGCTCTCCAGGTGGCCGTGTTCAGTCAGCAGCAAGTTCACACTGAATAATTTTGGTGTTTTTCCAGCCTAGCGATGCAGCCTGCTCTCTCCAGGTGGCCGTGTTCAGTCAGCAGCAAGTTCACACTGAATAATTTTGGTGAAATTTGGCTTTGACTTTCACCAGCTGTTGCTGTTCCACTGGCTCCTTCAGCTGCTGCTGCCAGAATTGGCGGTGTCTCTTTGATCCAGACATAAATGAGCTGCTTTATTCCTGCCCAGACCCGAGATCCTTCTTGAAAGGAAGGGGGGCAATGACTCTCATATTCCTTTTCATGGTTAACATGTGAAAGACTGTGGTTTTTGAGGCTGTCTGTAAATAAAAAAAGAGATGATCTCTGCTGGAGTGAAAATCATACCAGTTCACTCGTATGTGTAGGTCATGCTGAGAAACTTGGGACAGCTTTCTCTGAGTTGAAATTTCCTTTTTCAAGGATGTAGCTCATTTAATGAACGCTTTGAGCTCTGAGGCACAGAGCTGTTGAGCTGGGAAGATAGCTGTATCTCCTCCTTCTGTGTTCGTGATTGTGCAATGGAAGTAGGAAACGATTTGCCTGCTGCCGAGACTGCTGAGCCCTTGCATTGCTAATTCCGTGCTGTCAGCAGTGTCAATTAGTACCTCAAGAGGTTAATATCTCAGCAGAGAGGCTTTGTGAGTCATGTGGTCCCATTTGATAGATAATTGTTATAGTCTGCTGATTTCTCCATGTGATCTAAGATGAAATCACGAGGTATGACAGAATACTCTGATTTTCTATTATATTTTCTTATTATGTAAAATTGTAGTAATCCAGCCAACCTTCTGACCCACCAGTAAGATGTGAAAACTTCTGTGTTTGTTTTCTGCTGTGAACTCTTTCAAGTTGCCTTATAGATGTCTATAACCTATTGCCCAGCTTGTCCTTCCTTGAACAAAGCACAGCACTTCACACTTCCAGGGGATTTTTGAGATGCTGCTTTCTTTATGTTGGTCTGCTGAGGCTGGAAGAGAGTCTAGGCAGGAAACGGAGATCTGAAATAGTCCTGTCATTATGCATTTAATTATTTATTTTTCTTCTGAACTCCAGGGCATCTCCTTGGTATCCCTTCTGTTTTCATTCTGACTTTGGAGCTGGTTGGGGTTAAGAGGTGCTGGAGGAGCTGGAGATGCCCTTTGTTGCAGGGTGGGAGGATGGATGTGCTGTGTGTCCTCCCCAGCTCTCCCATCCTGCACCTCCAGTGACACAGGAGATCAGCAGTGTTGAGCCACCACTGAAGGAGGATAGCAAAGCTCATTTATTTCAGCCAAATCAGTACCAAAATCAATACTGATTACTGATCAATTACTGAAACTAACAGCCAAGTCAGTACTGAAATATAAAGTGCAAGTGACACTAGTGGTAAACTCGGGCTGACATGAAAACTAGCAATATTTATCTAAAATTTTATTTCATGGCCTTTCCTGCAGTAAGTCACACTTGTATCTCCCCTGTCAGAAGTTTTATTTTGGTGGTTCAAAATTTGACTTGAACTACCACGAAGAGTAATGTATTTATAGATCATAATTAGGATGATTAAATTAAAATTCATTTGACTCTTGCTGTAATTTATATTGTCATGTCAGTGCTAGAATTTTAGACAGCCTAGTCATTTTTAAACTAGAATTTCCTTACCTTTTTAGAAGGCTGATTTGTAAATCAGTAGCTCTAGAATTTGATCTTATTTTAGCCTTATTCTAATGTTGTTATAACCTTATTTTATATACTAGTAAATAAAGAGGGGTGAATAGCAGATATCAGAGTAAGGTATTTCCCATAAGAGGCCCTTGGTCCTGTTTCCACCAGTGTTGGTGCTTTGTTTTCCTCTGTAGGGTTGGATCCCAGTAAAGGCTAGGCAGCAATGGAATTTTAGTATCAACTCATTATATAAAAGCATTATCATTTTGCAAAACATTCTGCTAAGTTAATGAGGTGAGAATGTTGAGAAATGATTCAGTACTTATAATTAGGAACATCTCTCTCTTTCCTCCCACCCATTCCTTTTACCAGGTGTTTTCTTTGGCAGGGATTTAAGGCTAGGCACTGGTTCTGGAGATGAAAAGCTACAGCCTGGTGCTCATAGGATGGCTTTAATATCTGTAGGGTTGTGTCATGAAGGTTCTGCTGTCTGTAGTGGCTCTGTTTCTATGGTGATCTGTTTTCTGCCTTCTCTTTCCTTCTCTAGATGGTATAAAATGCACAGTTTTAGCTGGATAAATTAAAGATGCCTATTCCATGCTGCCACAGATTGCAGAGTTAGAAACTGCTACACAGCGTTTGCTGCTTCAGGTTGTCAGCATTTGTCTTTCAGGCTGCTGCCTTCCTTAGGTCAGGAAACTTTTCTTTGTGTGGCCTAAGGGAATCCAGCCTGCTGATTCCTTCTGCTAGACAGCATTTAAATGCTTTCCTCTTGCACATTTACTTTGCTTTCTGTTAATTCCTCGGAAGGAATATCCTATCAGAAGTTCTGGGGGTGGGGAACTTCTGCTGCATCTTGGGGATACAACCTGGTCAAAGTGTGGTATGCATTCAGCCTTCAGCTGTGTCTGATGCTGGAGCATCTTTTGTTAAACTGAAAAAAATTATCTGATTTCTGGCAGGGTTTTGTTTTTTAGCTTTTCGTTTTGGTGTTTGGTTTTTTTTTTTAAATAAAAGAATTCTGAGGACAGGTGTATTGTGCTATGTTTGAGTATATGGATCTTGGGAATTTTTGATTTTAGGATTTGAAATTACTATTATATGAAATAATGAGTTTATGATTTATGAAGTTTTACAAAATATCTTTTGTTTCAAACCAAGTGGAAAGGAAAGAAAACATTGTTCCTTAGCATGCTCCTTGGCTTTAATATGGCACCTCTACTGTCAACTCCTGTTTAATTATTTTGGACTTACTATAGTTTCTGTGGGTTTGTGCTTGCATTGCACATACACTTGTAAGCACAGACCTTCATTTCACCCAAGGTTCCTTGCTTTGTGAATTGGGGATCCAGAAGGGCTGAAACCAGCTTATCCAAGTGCCCAAACCCTGCCTTCTGCTGCTGCTCTTCATTGTTATACCGTGCTCTGTAACTGGCAGGAGCACATTCTGAGTAATTGTTTTGGGCATCTTCTGTTTTTCAAATCATTTATCTCATGGGGAGTAGGGAAAAAGATTATATAAATAATAAAGCAATGTAGCACTTCTGCACTCAAAACACTAGCAAATACATATGAAACTAACAAAGAAAAAAAAACCCCAAGCCTCACAAGCACAAATTGACTACAAATAGCAAAGCTTCTTGTCTTGGTATAAAGTAGATTCGTAGGGCTGGCAGTGACACCCAGTGAGGATGGAGAAAGGCCAGGTGTGGGAGCATGACATACTGTGCAGTGGAAATGATGAAAGTGAGTTTTTTATTTATTTCATTCTCTTTCTCCTTTCACTTGGTTCATGTGTGTGGGCTCTGTGCAGGAGCTCTGGGGATGAAGACAGTGCTTTGAAGGCTGCCGTGTGTTGGGTGTAAAAGCCATTGGTTTAGGCTGTTGTACATTACCCATCTGCAGTGTTCTTGGGGATCATCACAGGTATGGAAAACAGATTGCTTCCTGAGGTTCAGAATTGCTGCAGGAGCTGAGCCTCCCTGGCAGCTCAGCTGGGCAGGTGGCTTCCCTCTCCTGGGGCTGGGTGGCCACAGCTCTGCAGAGAGCAGCAGGAACAGCTTCCCAAGGGTTTTCCTGGGAAGGCAGTGAGAAACACAGAGAGAAGAGGAGAAAACAATTCTTATCTCTATTCACCGCTCCTCTTTTTGCACATGTGGAATGTGTTATGGAGATTGTTTACCCAAAGTGATTTGTTAACTGGACACGGGTGAAAGTCGTTTTGAGTGATCCAATCACTGTCTGACTGTCATGGGTTTTTCTTTAGTAAAGTTTTAATATAGTATTAATGTAATATAGTATAGTTTTAGTAAAGCAATTGTTCAGCCTCCTGAATCATGGAGTCAGAGCACATTATTTGCCATGTGGGGGACACCCTGATACAATAGTCCTGCTCCCCAAACTGCTGCTCAACACATTTTATCAAGCCCTGTCTTGCAGCAAGAAAGCAATATGAAGTTTTTCATGAAGTCTTTCAGAAAATCCCTAGCAGAAACGAGCAGTTTCCACTTCTCTGTAGTGGGAAAACTGGGTTAATAAGGGGAAAAAAAACCCTTCAGCATTCTTTGAGGCAGAGGAGGCTATACAAAAAGAAGTTGTGTAAGATTAGGTGGTGAAGCTGTATGACTAAATGCAGTTTTCTCTGCCATCAAATGCTTTGACAAATATAGTTATTAAAATATAGTTATTTTGAAATGAGTTAGTGGACTGAGAATGTTTTGCAGTGAGGTGCATGAACACCTCCAGAGCCAGAAGCTGCTTTGTTTGCAGAGGTGGTGGGTGTGGTGTGATCTCAGTGCTCTCTAGGCATAGCAGGGGCACTGCTTCAGGAACTTCAACATATTAAAAACATCACAGCTTTTTCCTCGTTCTACTCAAGAGCTGTTTTCATATCTGTGTGTTTGCATGTCCATGTGACTCTCTAAGTGACCAGCTGGTTTCCATACATCTTTAATTGATTCTTGAATATGGGGTAACAATTCTATCTTCACTCACTGAAAAATATGAATATTCTTGCTGGTTTTGAAAACAAATATGTTTGCACTGGGTCACTTTTATGAATAAAGTTTTAATGAAAATGGTTGCTAATGGGAATCTGGTTTGTTGTTGGGTTTTTTCTTTTATTTGGAGGCCTTTTCCACCAAATCTTTCAGGTTTTTTTTTTCTTTTGGCATTCTGAATATAATCAGTTTTAAACTAGCCATGTTTGTAATTACAAAGGAAGAGCTTTAACACTTGATCAGGCAGCTTTGCCTAAATTAATACAGATGGGGCTGAAGTATTCTCTTTGGGGAAAAAGAAGACAAAAATGGCTCTATAATATTATGCTATAAATGCATTTAGAACCTACTCAAAAGAGTTGCTCCAAATAATCTTTATGGATAGACAAATTTTTGATCTTTCTGAAAATGCTGATTTTTTTTTTTTACTTTGTAGATTTTCAGCATTGAATATGTATCTTGGAATACCTTCTGCATGGAAAATGCCTTTTTCTCTCTGTGTAGGCAATAAAATTATGCTTGTGCAGCCATTTATCAATAGAACAAGTTATTCACCTTAGATGTACTAATTAACTTGCCTCTTGCTTAAGGCTTTGTCTGTTAAACATGTATTTAAAAAAGAAAAAAAAATAGTGTCATTTATTTCAAAGATTTAGCTATAGTGCAACCAAAGCTCACGAATCTTTTGCTGTTGTTGTTTTACTGCAGTATGCCAGGGTTTGGATCCCTGATCCAGAGGAGGTATGGAAGTCAGCAGAACTCCTCAAAGATTATAAACCTGGAGATAAAGTCCTTCAGCTTCGACTAGAAGAGGGCAAGGTAAGTCTGTGTATTGTTTGTAAGCTGATAGTTCTTGTTCTCAACCTGAGTCTGTTGTTTCTATTGCAGGAAGCTCTACTGTCAAAATATATCTGTACTTAGGTGTGTGCAGTTGGTTTTGTCCACTCACTTTCTGCAGCATTTTTTTGGTGTGATAAATTTTACTGTTTAGTTACAAAAATCAGTTTTGGCTTGTTTTTAAAATAAATTAAAAAGCAGTTGTTTTTATCCACTGTCTGTTACGTTCAGTGGCATCATCTTTTTCTACTTATGCCATCAAACATATAGCCCTGGTTTGCTATTCCAGGGAGACAGGGTTGCTAGGAGAAGAGTGTTGCAGGAAAGAACTGTGACTTTTAAGTTGAACATAACCAGCAGAAATTAATAAAGATAAAAAAGGCAAGGATTAAGGGCATTACAAAGAAGGTGCTATGTACTGTGTTGAGAAATTATGACTTGTCCTTGTACAGCTAACATCCTTTGAGTTGTTTTTTTTTATGGAAATAGCAGGTAAATAAAGTGATTTTAGATCTAGAGACAGATGCAATTAGAACATCTATATTAGAGATGAATTTATATCTGAAAAAGGTTCTAAGCAGCATTTTTCAGTGTTTGTGTTTTTCATGGTGTTCTGCCAACATTCCCATGTTGTGTTACTGTGTATGAAGCTGGCTGTAGATTGGTAGGAATCTTCTTCCCCTGCCTGTTCCACTCAAGAGGAAAGCAATAGGGAAAAGATGGTTGTATTTATGATATAGTGTATTTTGGTTTATATAATAAAAGATATGGCAGCAAAACCATGGGGTTTGCTTAAGTAATAGTCTAAAAAGATGGTGTCTCTATGCAGTTGTCCATATAGAAAACCCCTGTGGGAAGTTTTAAGTGACATTTTTGGAGAAAGAGCTGCTAACTCACATCACCAGAGATCAGAAATCTTGCATTGTGGTTTCTTTACCTTGCGCATGTTTTGGTGGGAGGAGCAGCTGGAGGAGCTGAGGGAGTCAGGCTAGCCAGCAGCTCTTTGCAGGGTGCCCATTTGTTTTCAGGACCTAGAGTACAGCCTCGACCCAAAGACGAAGGAGCTGCCGCCCCTGCGGAACCCCGACATCCTGGTGGGTGAGAACGACCTGACTGCACTCAGCTACCTGCACGAGCCTGCCGTGCTGCACAACCTCAAAGTTCGCTTCATAGACTCCAAACTCATCTACACCTATTGTGGCAAGTACTGTCTCTCATGCCATCACTTTGCACAGAATGCCCTGGACAGGGAAGGCAAAGCTGTCTGTTGATGTGTCTGCCTTTAACCTAAAATCGTTCAGTGACAGGACATGCTGGACTGTTCTTAGGGAACTCACTGTGTTTGTGGTCACTAACAGGCTGGAGAATGTTGAGGTTCAGGGAAAACTGACTTCAGTGTGTGTTCCTCTAGCTCCCCGATGGAATCTGTTTATAAACTGTGTATTCAGCAGTTTTTGTTTCACAGTGGGATTCCTGTCTGGTTGGTGTTCTCTGTAGGCTTGCTCAGGTTGGGCTGGGTGGGAGGAGGCCAACACACTGCAGATGCAGGAGCTGCCTTGCTCTTTGGTGGATATGTTGCCCACCTATAGTTGCTTACCTCTGCACTGAGCTCCTCTATCTCTTTTAGACTACATCAGTTTATTTTCTTTTTCATGTTTTCCAATCTGGGTAATTACAGAAGTGAATTTGTAACAGTTCATGAGCCGTGGATTGTCTTATCACAGTTACAATTGATCTTGGTTTTAAAAATAACATTTAACTCACAGCAGAGGTTACCCAAATTTGTAGCTGCCTGTGGTATTTTCAGATGGCCAGAATGGAGGAAAGTTACTTAAATAATCACTTTGTCATAAGCACAAAATTGCAACTGCATGGTCTGTTTCAAAAATAAACATTGTGAGGTAGTTTAAGGTTTGCTTCTGGGCTTTTATTCTATGTATGCATATGTTCCTTTTAAATATCTTTGTTTAGTCAAAATACACTGCTAGCTTTTAACATAACTTTTCAGTAAGACAGGCAGCACATTAAACATGTTGTGATGGACAGACAGAAGCATTAACATCCTGCCACATTTTGCTCACTTCTGGCTGCTCCTAATCTGCAGATGCTCAGCAGGGCACATCTGTTCCCAGTCCTGCTCTCAGCAGTGACCAGACCACAGGGGCCTGGATCAGCCTTTGCCACCCCTGCTTGCAGCCAGACCTCACTCCACAGGAGTGGGTGATGATTCACACCACATCTCATCCAGTCGTGCACTCAGAGCACAGAATAATTCAGGTTGGAGGAGGCCTCTGGAAGTCTCCAGTGAAGCTTCCTACTTGGAACAAGTCTGACTAGACCAGGTTGCTCAGGGTTTGGACCAGCTCAAGTGTCTGGGTGTTTGAGTATCTCCTCTCTGGGTTAACCCTGCTGGGGGTGCACCTTGTGGTCCCAGCACTGGGAAATCACCTCAGCTCCCCCCGAACAGACATCATCTGTGTTTCTCTCCCAAGTGCCCCCATGGCAAAGCTCTTGTGTGAAAGGGCTTTTGTGCAAATGGAGCCTCATGGCCTGAGCTTGTAAGGGGTTCTCAGTTTCATGGTCCCCTAACAACACCATACCCCCTCCCACAAGCCTGTCTGGGCTGTGTCCTGGCTGCTTGCAGGACTCTGTGTTGAGCAGCTTTTAAGAGGCTTTCAAAAGGAATGTGTTGTCTGTCGGTTGTGTTTCCCTGTGTTTGGGAAAACATGAAAAAAGTATGTTTCAATTATTCCCCAGTGCAGCTGTAGTTGTGGTTTTGGCTGGTTTTATCATTTCTCCTGGGGCTGGGAGGCCTTTAGCTCTCCATGGCTGGGTCTGCCAAAGGGCCTGGGATGGGGGAGCTGGCTCAGCTGGTTTGCTTCCAGACAAGACCAAGTGGTTCTGGGAGCTGCTTGGATGTTTGTCAGAAAGGAGAGGAGCCAGCAGTGTGGGGGCTCCTGGAGCTCAGAGGGAAGGAGGTGCTGGAGGCTCAGCCCTGCTGAGGAATGTGGTGTGCAGTGGTTTATTCACTGGGGATGTTGGCAGGGCTGTGTTGTGTTACAGGCTGAGCAAAATGGAGTTGGCACATCAGCCTCTGAAAACCCGATCCTTTGCCACAGACATCCATCCACCTTTCAGACTTCTCCATTAGTTCCCATCCTGCCGCAGGTTCCTTCCCCTCTGCAGAGATTACTGCCTTGGAGCTCAGCCTTGGGGGCTGCATTTGCCTCCTCACTGTGGCTCCCACCTTAGCCAGGTCAGCTCAAATAGCCTGTGAAGGTGGCTTGGGCTAACCCAGTTTATGCAGCCCAAAGGAGAACAAAACCCCTTCAATCCATCAAGAGAATCACAGTAACAATATTCTCAACAGTAGAACTGGAAAAGGAAGGAATGGATGGATTGTTGTCCAGGGGCCTAGAAATTAATCCAACCATGCTGTCTTAGTGTGATATGTCAAATGGATATTAAATTCTTTGAAATTTCACTTTGAAGTAATTAAAACTTTTAAACAGAAAACCTGCTGATTTCTCGATTTCAAGTCAGTCTTTCACCAGCAATTCAGAGGTGGTTTATAACTTTGCTTTACTGTGGGAAACATGAAATGAGGAATTAATGAAGGAAGTTGAAAAGTTGCAAAGGAAAATTTGAATGCTCACATGGAGAAACTGCTATGGCTGTGATGAAAACTCTGTGAATCTTGCTGGTTAGTTCAGGTTAGTAAAAAGTACTGCCTTCTATGCAGGAGAGCAGACTTTAATTGACATTAATAAATTGCTTATGTTTATGTCCAGTTTGGCCACAGATGGGTGAGGGGTGAGTATGTTCAAGGTAAAAGAATTAGATAGGCTTACTTTGAGCATATATAAAGAAGACTAGCACAAAGAGTAGCCAGAGTTCAACTTAGTGTAATTGTAAGAACAAAACCACACATAAATCTGATTTAGGAAGGCCATATTTCTTAAAATAGCAATATGATTTAGCAGAGATAAAGAGAACTTATATGTAAATTAATCTGGATTATAGCCCTGTGAGGCAGACTGATTTCAAAGTTCTACAGAAAGCAAATAATTCCTAACTCACTTGTTTTGGTTATTTCCAGATGGTAGTTGCTTGTAGATTTTACAGATTGCTACTGAAGTGTTTTAATATGATGGAGACTCATCACGGGGCTGCTTGTTCCCAGTTCAAGGGTTTATTTTTGCCAGCATAACCAAAAGCAGGAGGGAATTGTTGGAAGTCTCACACAGATTTTTGTAATGTCTCTTTGATGAGACTTGCAGGCCTGAGAGGCTCAGCTCGGTGGTGCACTGTATTTCATTTTTTGCTGCTTTTCTAAGGGCAGATGCTAAAAATTGACACACAAAATATTCCTCGAGTCTTGTAGGACTGAGGTCACTTCCTGTCCCTAACCCCCACTCTGATTTTTTGGTTCATCAGTACAGCATTGGAACTTGGCATGAATGTTTATAGAGGTTTTTCACTGGAGCTCCTGAGTCACTTCAGTGAAGTCGTGGCTGATGGAAAAACACAGACTCTCCTCACATGGGCGTGTCAAGACATAAAACTTGCTGTGTGTTTGAGGAAATAGATCAAGGTCTCTCAGATCTCTCCCTAAAACATATTCTCTTGTTTAATGTTTTTGCTATGGTTTGTGCTTGATCTATAGATGCATGAAAGGGTTTAGAAATTGGTTGATGCTCCCAGCAGTGCCAGACTGCAAATGCTTTCATTTCCTTTCTCCCAGCTTTTACATGGAAAATTTCTTAGATAGACATCACAAGACTGTAATCTGCACAGAGCAGAGAGCTGGGATCAGCACTGAGGAAGTCTGTGTGTGTAAGAGTGAATTTCAGAGTAAAATTAGAAGCAAGTTGAGTGCTATGGAAACGCTTCTGAGGCAGGTTCTTCAGGGATGGATTGTCCAGGCAGTCACTGTGCAGCCATCTGCAACTGCATTGGCACACTTAGGCACCAAAATACATACTCAAAAGAAGCAATTCTGTTCTTAAACTGTCCACAGTTAAAATTAGAGGGGTTGTTTTTCCCCCTCATCACCTTGTCAAGGTAAGGAAGACTTGCCATGTCAGGGGGGCACAGCGTGCCTCTCACAGCTGGCTCTCACATGGTCTCACTGGTCAGTGTTTCCACCCCTGCACAGAGCAAATAAATTTTCCCTACTTGTTGTAAAGGCTGCAGGAGAGAAAGTTATAAGGAATCTTTGTCAGGTTATCCCTGTGGGTAGAGCAATCCTGATTTCTCATGAAAAAGAGAATTGTCCCAAAAACTTTTGAGGTCTCACTATTTGTGACAAGGAAGCTTGTAAAGAGTAAGACTTAAGTTTTCCTGTGCAGGGAGAGTAAAAGAATGGCATGAATTTAGAAGTGCTGTGGTGATGAGCTATATTGAAAAAAACAGATATGTGTTTAATTGGTATGGAAAAACTAGGAAATGGGAGGTGTAAGTACATGCTCAGATGTATCAGATGAGGGTGTTCTGATGCCTTCTAGAGCTGTAATTGCCTAATTTCCTGACAGGACTGGGTGCTGCTCTGTGTCAGCCTTATGAAATATGTCTACTTGTTGGTTTTTCTGATGCCTTTGACCAGGAGGTTGTCCTGCCTGATTGGCAGAGGTGCCCTGGAATCCAAATTACACTGTTGCTTATTACAAAAACTGAGGATGTTATTGTTTCACAACAGCTGAAGGGTTAACACACTGCACGTACCCAAACTGGCAGTCAGTGAGACCACCCAGTAGTTATACTTCACAAATTACAGTACCACGGGTAATTCAGAGTAAACCACAGGGAAATGCAATGCACATTCATTGGTTTACTGCACTGAACAGGCAGTATTTCAGTCTGCACATTCTGAATCTTTTTAGACTGTGCATGCTAGCTTTAGAAAAGGCACATAGATAGAAAAGGTATAAAGTTGTCCCTGATGTGTTTACCAAAGCGGTTTAGAAGTCAACTCGTGGTACTTTGTGTGTGCAGAACTTTATTCAGAATAAAGATCTTCTGAAGTCAGTAATATCAGATCCTTATTCTTTAACATTTTTAGAAATATTAGAACAATAGTTGATTTTAAAACAATTTTTGTTTGGGTTTTTTTTTGAAACAACTATTAATAATTTCTTTTGTTTAATTTCCTTTGTAGGTATTGTTTTAGTGGCCATAAATCCTTATGAACAGCTGCCTATCTATGGGGAAGACATCATCAATGCCTACAGTGGCCAGAACATGGGGGACATGGATCCACACATCTTTGCAGTGGCTGAGGAAGCATACAAGCAGATGGCCAGGTTTGTAGACCAGAGTCTCACTGTTTTTCTGAAAGGAATAAAACAAAGTTTCTGGCTGATGCTCTTTAATTTATAGCTTGTGAAATATTTTGCAATATCTGTCTTTTATCCAGTGTTTTAGTACATTTCACAAGGGGAGGAGTTGCCTAAATTAGTGAACAGTAAAGCTTTATAAATGCTGTGGAGATCATGGCCACTGACACTTAGCAGGAATTACCACAGATCTTGTCACTATTTAGGTCTAAAATTAGCCCTGTGCTTTATATGATTATATTTATTTCATTTGATTACCAAAATAAAGAGATATTTTTTAATTGTCAGTGGATTGTTAAAGAGAAAAGGGCCAGGTTCTCAGCTGTTTTGTGTTTGTGTGTGACACTAACAAGAGAAAAGAAATCACTGGGCTTATGAGTGCTATTATAGGCTCCTGGTTGTGTCAGTAATGCCCCAGCTATGTAATCTGCCTGTGGCTGTTGTTGACTGGAATTAAGAGGGAGCAGAGGGACGATTGCAGAGTGTGCCTGGAAACTGAGTCTCTAAGGACACTGCAACAGCTGTGCAGGAAATCCTCATTTTGTTAGATGTTGCATCAAAATGAGCTCGTCACCCAAGGGCAGTGGTTAGCAGGAACTTCTTCCTCTTAGCCCCAAGAGCCTTCAGCAAGGAGAGCTTTTGAAATACTTCATTTCTAGGATAAAGGTCTTTTGGGCTGCTGTGTGGTCTTTGTTAGTAGGATGCTCCTGGTGTCCTCACTGGTTAGCTTCAAGCTGTTGGTATTGTTTTCCTTGTTGGCAATACAGCTCATGATCAAATTAATCAAGTAAAACACTGAAAGATCTCTGGATTGTTTGTGATGGCTCTTAAGCTAAACTGCAGGTGAGGGAGGCAAGGTTAGAATGGGGTGAAAATTATAAAATCTTCATGTTTGAAGTCAGCTATCTGTTCATTTAAGAGTCTTTATGACAGCTAGAATGGATAAAATGTTTGTCACGTGCACATCTGAATACAGTTATCTGCAATACCCAGATAACAGATAATTTCAAAAGAAAACAGTTCAGTGCAACATTTCATGGCTTAGGGTAATTGCAAAAGAGCCAGTGTTTCAAAAATACCCTTATCTTGGTTTAACTCCAGCCAGCAACTCAGTACCATGCAGCCACTTGCTTACTCCCTCCCTCCCTCACTGCGATGGGGAAGAGAAACTCGTGGGTTGAGATAAGAACAGGTTAATAATTGAAATAAAGTAAAATAATACAAAATAATAGCAACAGTACTAGCAATGAAAGGAAAAGAGAGAAAGAGGAGTAAAACCCAAGAAAAAGAAGTGATGCACAGTAAAATTGCTCACCAGCTGCTGACCAATGCCCAGCCATTCCCCAAGCAGCCATCAGCTGCTCCCAGCCCACTCTCCCAGTTTATATCCTGGCCATGGTGTTCCTGGGTGTGGACAATCCCCTGGCCAGCTGGGGTCAGCTCTCCTGGCTGTGCTCCCTCTCAGCTCCTTGTGCACCTGCTCACTGCCAGAGCCTGAGGCTCTGACAGCCCCTGAGTGCAGGTGAGCACTGCTAAGGTGTCACTGTGGTGTCAGCATTATTCCCAGAACTCCAAAATTCAGCACTGCACCAGCTGCTAGTAAGAAAATTGCCTCTATTCTAGCTGAAACCAGGACAGCTCTACACCCACACTCTTGAATGGCAGAGATATCTGCCTTACTTCCTTTCTGCTCAGAAAATAGATTATAATCTGGTGTGGAAATACAAAGGCAAAGCTGTGTGTTACGATAGTCAATTCTTCGTGTCTCTTTCGTCACTGCTGTTTTAAACAGACTTGGTTCTCAAGTCCCTCTAAAAGCTGTACAAAATAAAACTTTATTAACCTTATTTTATGTCTGAGGCTTGGTACAGTGGTTTGAAATTATAGTCAGTGATGGCTGTCATCCCAATTCACAGAATTTTTGTTCTTGATAGTAACCAGGGGAAGTAAGAGGAGAGGGACGTGTCCCCACTGGCCGACTCTAACCCCTGACTGCAGTGGGCTTGCCTCTCACTGGTGCTGAAATACCAAACTGCTGGATCTCCTGTTCTGTGTGCCTGTGCAGTGCAGATGTCTGTCTGCCACCGCTGGCATTCTCTGCTGCTGGGCAGACTCGGGGGGCTGAGATTTTGGCTGGAGTTCCTAAATACCTGCTCTTCAGCTCTCGCTGCAGCCTCCGGCAGTTCTGCTGTCCTGAATAACAACAAACAAATGTGTGAGGAGTTCCTTTTTGAAACAAATTATGAGAAATTATATGACTGTGGAGATTAGCTTAAATAAGTCTTCTGGGTTATTTAATTAATTACTTTAAGTGTCTCTATTATAAACAATTTGTTATTCTTTTATGACTGACAGTACTTTCATAGTTGCAAAACGAAATCTGGGCACACAATGCAACTGAAAAATAATTCTCTACACTGAAGTAAAAATTCAATTGTTTTAGCTTTTCAATGCTTGTTTCCTTTTCTATTTGTTTGGGGATGTTTTTGCCTTGTTTTTAAGAACTTTTTCTGTCATTACAACATACTGGTTTTGGTCATTGAATTTAGTTTTCTATTGCTGTTTACAGTTACTAAATCCCACCCTTTAACTTCACTGATGTTTTTTATACTCTGAACAAATCACCTTTTTACTTCTGAATTATGAAGGTAAAGAAAACATTTACATTTTTACAAGTTTTACATTTCTGCAGCTGACTATTTAAAAATGAAAATCAGATTGTCTGCGACTGTTGTATTAACATTTTAATAAGTGTGTTGCATATTCATGTGGTAGCTAGTCATATGGCATTAATCTGCATTTATGTGTCTAATTGGTGAGATTTATTTTTCTCTTGTTTCTGATCTTTCCTAACTCCATGTTTCAATGATCACTGGAATAATTAGTCATGATGCTCCTATCCTTAAGGCTTCAGTGAGCTCTTCTAAATATTTACTCCTTAGGTCTTCTTGTTAATTTATAATTTAGTGATTTAGAGTTTGTTCTTTCCAGCTTCATTGCTTCATCTGCTGCAGCTGAGAAGCTCCATCCATGTGCATGGTTAACGAAATGGTCTCTGGAGCCTTCTTCAGCCAAAGAAATGCCCCACGGCAGAAATCTGGAAACCAGTGATTAAATATTTGCATTGTGTTTTCAGAGGAAAATACAGTGCAAAAATATTGCCCACTGGAGTGACAGGGATGAGCTCACATCTGGCTTGTGCAGAGAAGTGATGCACAGCAGTTGCTTGGGGTTGACTGCAGTGCAAAGCAGCACATAAAGACACCTTTGCATGTGGCATTTCCTGCTTAGTGGGAGCCAAATGGTGGGGTACATGCTGCTGGAAGTGCTGGGGCTGTTTGAGCCTCTTTATTTCCTCTTCCTACAGCAGTTCTGTCTCCAGTTTCCAGTGGAGGGTTAGTGGGGGGGAGCGTGGCTCATCTTTACCCGTAGCCAACAGTAAAATAAGTGGGTAGTCTGCTTGGTAGCTCCTTGTCTCTTTCAGTGCAAGAAAACATGCGCAGCTCTTAAGACTATTCTCATTTTGGACTATTATTGCTTTCCTTTTCCCCTTTCCCTTCTCTTCCTCCCTTGTAATCTGTGTCTTTGTACCTGTTTCCTTTTCCCTCTCCATCTCCTGCTGCTGCTCTGCACAGACTGACAGCTTTGTTTCAGACACCTTTCCTCTGCTGTGCCTAAAATAAGCAATGCTCTAGTTTTACAACTGCACTTCAAGTGTGCCAGGCTTAGGGCTCTGAGTGCTTCATCCTCACCAGTAACTGGGTTTGGGCTGTATGAGCCTCCAGACTGAGGGTTTGGAGCACATCTGCTCTGTCCAGGACTGTCCAGTGGGAGGGCGCAGGGTGATGCAGCTGGGGACGTGTCCACGTGGTTCTTGTGCAGAGTGGTTTGGGTCTGTAGGTGCAGCTCTGACAAGCTGTGCTTTTGGAGAGAGCTGGGACCTGCACTCAAGGGCTCTCCTCAGCCATGGCAGTGTGCTCTCCATGGATAGCTCAATCATTTGAGTGAATATTTACAGACTTGGGACTGTTTAAGGCAGATGAGTGACATAGAAGGAAGAAAATCATTACTGAAGAATATATTCTTGTCCCAGAAATATAAACCTCAGTGTCAGCATGTGGGTGTCTGCATATGTTGATTCCTTTGAGCATGCCACTTTTGTATGTCAGTGTTTCCAAATTGTTAGCAAAACCCAAGTTCAGTCTTCAGTTACCCCTCTGTGGTAACTATGAAAATTGAAGCAAAGCTTCAGTTGTCAAACATTTTATTTTTTATTTTCAACTACAACTTCTGTAGGAATCACAAGCGTCAGCAGGTGCTGCTCATTTTCTTTGTTATATTCAATAGAATATTCAATACATTTTTAACTGTGGTTTGCAGTAAGATGTTGATTATTATACTCTTGTAACTGTTAAGAATTGCATTAATGTATGAGACTTAGGATTATCAGTTTCCTAATACTATTAGGGAAAAATCACTCCTTCACAGGATTCTTTCCCCTGCCTGGTGATGGCATATTGCAGTAATTAAGATAATGTATTTTTTTTATCAGCACTTTGTTGGTCTGATTTGTTCCATCCTACTTGTGGTTGATGGCAGATACAGAAAATTCAACTTAATAAATTAACTTTGAGATTTTCTTCTGATTAATTAGTGAAGTTGTCTAGCACCATTTAAGTTGAAAGTAACCTCTGCAAACAGGATTGCATACTGATAACCTTAATGAATGCCAGCTTGGAAAACAACAGTGTTTAAAGCATCAATTTCCAAAGTTTTGCTTTTTCTATTTGGACAAAGTATAGTGATTTATTTTGTCGTACTGTTTACCTTTTTTATTAAATTACCCTTAATAAGTAGGCTGCCTTTACTGTTTTGTCAGCTTTTTTGTGTGTGTCTGATGGCTTTCACCTACAGGAAGATATTTTTCTATCACTTTTTGTTCAAAAGGAAGCCTGGTGAGCTGTTGA